TCTCCTCTCTCTCTTCTCTCTCTCTTCTCCTCTCTCTCTCTCTCTCTCCTCTCTCTCTCTCTCGGATTCCTCGCTCTTCTTTCTTCCGTCTCTCTCTCTATCTCTGGATGCTCACTGTGTGGATGCTCACGTATGTTGTATATGTATATATATATATATATATATATTTATATAATATATATAATATACATAATATAATTTATATATTTATATATATGCATATATATTTACATATATATATATATACATATGTATAATATGCATAAATATATGTACATATATATATATGTGTGTGTGTGTGTTACATATATGTACATATTTATATACGTATGTATGTGTATATACATACATGTATATGCAATAGCCGGAAATTTCCAATGCATTTGTGTGCGCAACTATATATGTGATATATATTATATATATATATATATATATATATATATATTATATATATATTTATTATATATATATATTATATTATATATATATAATATATGTATATATGTATCCATATATATAATGTATATATATATATATATATATATATATATATATATATATATATATATAATATATATATATATATATATATATATTATGTGTGTGTGGTGTGTGTGTGTATCATTCTCTCTCTCTCTCTCTCTCTCTCTCTCTCTCTCTCTCTCTCTCTCTCTCTCTCTTATATATATATATATATATATATATATATATATATATATATATATAATATATATATATATATATTTGCACACAAATGCATTTGAAATTTTCGGTTACTGCAATTGTTTACAGAGATGGAGTCGTATTTCCAGACTCTATAACATTTATAAGTAACCCATTTATTTCATATTAATAGTTTCCAGAATATAGTAAAACATTTAAAATTGAAAGAGTTACAGTAGTTTATGATCAAAATTATTCCAATATGATATGCACAATAAAGGAAATGAAAAATACCTAAAAAAATACTCTTTACTACTCGACCCTGATCTGATGGTTAGTTCAATGTTTACATTTGGTGTCTTCTTTCTCTCGTTATGTCTTCGAAATTCAGGAAATTCATCATGTCATTCCATTGATCAGTGCCAAGGCCTATTACAGGCTGAGTGACAGGATGGAAGTGCCAGTGAGAGTAGTGACGAGGGTGAGTTTGATAATATTAATGATAAAGTGGCAAGATATAAGTGACAGATGAGGTGACATCTTTCGCAGTGACAAAGGATTGGATTTAGTTGTTATTTGTCAGACAGCCATACTTTGCGCTTGCTAATTGCGAGGCTTATTTTTTATTATGATGTTATACATGTACATGATTCTTTAGGAGCCAATAGATTAAAGATAAAAGGTGTTTGCGTATCGACAGTAGTTGTGTCTCCATCGTCACGACACAGTGAATATATACGTCTAATGAATTACAATGTATGAGAGAATGAATTAGAAAAATAGCAAATTATAAGTAATGTGAAATATGGCACAAGACTATAAATCTGTTCAATGCAATATTCAGCTGTAAGTTTTTTGAAAATAAGGTTTATAAGACACCTTCGTCTGTCTTTGTCCTAGGCACCTACTACTATGACCTTTGACCTAGCATATCTCAAACTCTTATATATGTTTAAACATGATAGCGCAAGTAGACTTCCTGGTAATTTATCATGAAATGTAGATCCAGACCAGGCTTTATCTTTTCTAAGTGCATGTATTGGAAATTTGGTAGATACGGAACAGCAACCCTACACCAATTTTTTGGTGAAGAAAATATTTTTCAAATTGGCTAAGAATTTTGGGGGTAAATATGATAGAACACTAGCAAGCATAGTATATTGACACTTTTCTGGGTTATATATGAGACTTTGCCCCCTTAAACCTCCTTTCAGGGGAAGCTGCTGCACCCCACCCTCCCCATGGTCTACAAAATCCTCCCCATGCAAGTTCTGGCAGATATACTAATATGTTTTCAGTGGATATAGGGAGATTTCCCCTTTAAACACCCTTTCTGGGGTTTGCCCCCCCACCGCCTGCCTGTTCTACAAAATCTGTACCATGTATGTTCTGGCAGGAGAGAGTCCATATCCAGGAACAGTTTTTACCTTATTTTACCTTAAGCATTAACTCCATACGGGTCACTGGGATCATCAAAGTCATCTAGGTCATTATTGGCAAGGTCTAAATAAGTAACTTATACAGACCTTGGTTATTGTTGGGAACTGCGTTCGCTATCTGCCATTCCTAATCGGCTAGCGGAGGGCACAGTTTTGCGGCCTTGACGAAGAACTGGTGGTGGACTACTGGTGTCTGTCTTTACTGTAATGATACAGTGTCTTATAGTGTGGGCAATGTACTTCCACTGGGAGTACAACACCATGATTTTGGAGGTATGATAAGCTTGCGTCATTATTTTGGTGATATTTCGTGATGAAGTCGAAGCAATTATTCTCACACCCTACACACTGACTAGCTATGATGGAACTGATTTGAATTTCAACTGCCGTCTCTTAGGCCTAGCTTCTATAATCACATGATGATCTATTACATATCTGATTGGTTCTATTGAGGTGGACAGCAGTGCTTATGGTCATGTCACGTTCACGCACAAATGTAATTGGCTCATTTGATTTGCCTCACATACATGACCCACTACTAATCCTTCTGATTTTACGTCGCTTTTAACAACTTTTGTGTTATTTTGTCTCGGCATTGGAGGCATAAGGTTGATGTGGCTCCTTCTCTTCTACCATTATTAACAGTTTATGGGGAAGATGGTATAGAAGAAAATTTTCATAGAATGATGTGTTCTACTACTTGGAAAGCTCAGATTCTTTAATTTAGGTGTTGGAGTGCATTTCAAATAATACCGGAAGTTTATTGTCCCTTGCCAAAGTGAAGGTATGGAAGCCAAGCTTGCTAGTATATAATTTGAAGAAATTTCATTTCAAGAGTCACTACGTGATGAAAGAAAAATCTTTCCTCTTCCATAGTTTTATCATTGCCAGAGGAGTGGAAAAATTGCCAAAAATCTTGTTGCCATAATAAGTTAGATATGATGAATAAAATTTTGGGGTCCAATATATATATATATATATATATATATATATATATATATATATATATATATATATATATATATATAATACAGTATCTATGATAATAAAATTAAAAGAATGATAATCATACTGGGTATTATATTTCCCTTACAAAACATTTTTTTTTTTTTTTTTTTTAGGTGCGACCACAGACAGCACAGGAGCACAACCATGGAACGTGTATTCAGGTTGCTCCAGCAGCCTCTCAGGTCATCCTGGGTTATGACCATTTTTGTGACTTTGATGCAGTCTTTGGTCATGATGTCACACAAAAGGAACTGTATGACTCCTGCCTGTCGGATATGGTTATCAACTTCTTTCAGGGTGAGTGCCTTGTGTGAAATGTTAATGAGGCATCATGTTATCATCACCATGATTATTGTCAGAATAGTTATCATCATTTTTCATCGTCATCATCATCATCATCATCAGTCATCATCATCAGTCATCAGTCATCAGTCATCATCATCATATCATTATATTTTTATCCTAAATTGATCTTACCGTACCAAAAACAGAGAGCAAATTAGTTCCACATTACATTAACATGAAACTGTATCTTTCCCCTAGGATACAACGTGACAGTGGTCGGGTATGGGCAGCGTGGTTCGGGCAAGACATACACTATGACAGGCCCAGACTTCTTGTGGGCTATGAATGAAGAGGAGTTTGGACTTTTGCCCCAGGCAGTGCGGCACGTTTTCAATCTCATGAGGGTGAGTGTGATTTCCTGTGTTGCGGAATGGATGACATGTTTCTTTGGGATGCCTGTTATGGCAAACCAGCGATTTACCAAGAGCTTTTCTTTCATATTTAATTGAGGGGTTTTGGAAATATTTTGATTGTTTTGAAAACAACGTTCTGGTCTTGTTCTTGCTGTGTGAGTGCAGGATAGGTAAGAATATAATTTTCAGAAATTTCTCTTGTCTTAGTTGTCTTCAGGGTATATTAATCAAATATGAAGTTTAGATATTTAGATTTAATTTTTTTGCTGCTGTATCTATCTATCTATCTATCTATGTGTGTGTGTGTGTGTGTGTGTGTGTGTGTGTGTGTGTGTGTGTGTGTGTGTGTGTGTGTGTGTGTGTGTGTGTGTGTGTGTGTGTGTGTGTGTGTGTGTGTGTGTGTGTGTGTGTGTGTGTGTGTGTGTGTGTGTGTGTGTGTGTGTGTGTGTGTGTGTGTGTTGTGTGTGTGTGTGTGTGTGTGTGTGTGTGCTGCATGCTTGTATATACTTCTTTGTTATTTTCAGGAATAAGGAAATAATAGATGCTACCATTACAGGATTGATATTTTTACTAACAAAACTCACAGATTTATGATAAAAGTAAATGATACTGCAATTCATTTAGAAATGATTAATTGCAGGAATGCCCAGGGAGAGAATACCGTGTACATGTGAGCTATCTGGCAGTGCAAAGGGATGCTGTGTATGACCTGCTCTCCACCTCCAACTCCTATATGCAACTGAATGTGCTAGAAGACAATATGGTAAAACTTTTATTGGTATTTTGTCTTCATCTATTGGTTAGGGGTCAATAGAATGAATGGACTAAGAATAGGATGAAATGAACTGGTAATAAAATATGCTAAAAAACAGAATGAACTAAAGTCAGAGTTTGAGAATATTGATGGAAAGTGTGGGAATCCAACCAAGAAAACCGTATGATTGCACATTATATGATTACCATTATCATATCACAACCAAGAAAGGGTATTGTTAAAAAAATTCAGAGTTTGAGAATATTGATGGAAAGTGTGGGAATCCAACCAAGAAAACCGTATGATTGCACATTATATGATTACCATTATCATATCACAACCTTTTCAAAAATACATCTATTCAAGGGTAATGTCGTCATTCCTGGCCTAAATGTGATTGACTGCAGCAACATCACAGAGGTCATCAACTGCCTAGAGGCTGGCCTAGTCCACCGACACACTGCAGCTATCCACAGCCACGATCCCTCAGCCTCACACGCAATCTTCTCCCTCATTCTGGAGCACCAGTGGACGGATCCAGGTCAGTTTTTCAGGTTAAGGTTGAGGTGCGGTGGTCAGGGTTGACGTTGCCAGGATTGGTAATGTTTTAGAGGAAGTGGAAGGGAATCCTGCAGTTGATAGGGAATATTGTTCTTCTTTTACGCTTTTAGACCTTTCATATTCTGAAGGCGTCATCCATTTCTCAAAGCAGATTTTGAATTACCTCATCCGTATTTCTTTTGATTGAATAATGAATTTAGATGTATCTTAAAGTAGAATTATTAGAAAGAGCAGTTTGAAGGGTATTCAGCCTTGTTAATTATTGAGGTTGAGGTGCACTGTGTTGGGTTTCAGTGCTATAAAGGAATAGGAAGCCACAGTGTATTAGGAATGGAAAGTGTTTGGGAAAATAAAAGAGAAGAGAAAGTCACTCTGTATGGAGAAGTAGATGCATTTTTTAGTTATATATTTATGTGATCTTATTAGGACTTACCTCTTTCCTTACCTAATCCCTCAGAATACAGGATATTTTTTAGTATTTCCAAAAATTTCCAGATGGGAAGCTAAAGTACCTGTATTCGCGGATGAGCTTTGTTGACCTCGGAGGCTCAGAGAGACTTGTGCAGTTTGGGTATGGGGACTATGGGCGCCCTGGTGAGGAATCCTTCTTCCTCAACTCCGATCTGAAGGCTTTAGGAAATGTCATCCATTGTTTGGCAGACCAAACATACAAGGGGCCTATACCTTACAAGGAGTCAAAGTTAACACATATTTTAAAGGTATGTAAAGGTGTGAGCTCTCACTAAGCAGTGAGTTTGTGTACAGATTTATTTACAACAGTAAAGGAAATATGCATATATGTGTATATGTATATATATATATATATATATATATATATATATATATATATATATATATATATATATATATATATATATATATATATATATATATATATATATATTACATAATTTATGTATATATGTGTTTTTATACATGCAGATATGTGTGTATATCTGTACTTCTGTACATCTGTATGCATATGTAAATGTATATGTAAGTGTAAATATAAATATAAATGTAAATGTAAATTTAGATAAATAGATAAGTATATATATATATATATATATATATATATATATATATATATATGTGTATATGTTTATCTATGTCTATCTATAATATGTACATGTCATATATACTCAAATCAATAATAAAAATACCCCTTGTCTCAGGATGCATTTGGTGGCAACAGCCTAAGCCTGATGGTCTGCTGCCTGTCTCCATCAGCTGAAGACTTTGATGCCTCCTTCAATACTCTGAAGTATGGTGGTCTGGCACGCTACATCCTCAATTTCCCTGCGGTCAACATGGCGATTCAAAATAGTGCTCGTGGATCAACAGCAACCATGTCTCCCAGTTCTGCTCACACAACATTACCTGTAATTTCTTGAGTTCTGACTTGATTAAATTTGGATGATGTATTTATAACTGTTGTATTGACTATACTGATGGATGAAATGTGACTATTTTTTAATGCTTTGAATTTGCATGGTTTATTTTATAATGTATTTATCTGTGGCTTATTTCATAGTGGAGAGAATACTTTGCTGAATTAGTGTTTAGGATAACATACCATATCCCTTCAGCATCAGTCTGGGAGCAGACAGTCAACTTTAACTGGCATACAAAGCAGTGTGCAGCAGTCCTTGGGAACAGTTCAGCAGTCAACAGGCACCAATGACACATCTACTGTTGCAGCACTAGATGATGCAGGTTCAGTGGACACTGAGGACATGTTCAAGTAAGACATTGACGTATAAGAGCAGGAATATTTTGAAACGTGGTTGTGAGGTGATTGTTTTGTTTTTATTATTATATCTATCTATCTATCTATCTATCTAACTATCTGTAGGCAATGCCATTTATTGTTATATTTAGTATTTTCTTGAACTTTATTACCAAAAAGTCTTTTGCTAATTTCATATTCATCATTGTCAGATTTCAGTTTGCTGCCTCACAGTGGCAGTTGTTAGTCTCTAGTGCTGAGGATCTTCTCTCTGAGATCCTGCGTAGCACTCAGGTGTCCCCAACAGAGAAGGCACGCATTGAGTCTTGGCTGTGCTTAAAGGCAGAGGCAGAGGAGTGCATAGGGATGGACTTGGGGCCTCTGCGCTTCAATGCGGCCACGAACCGTGTTCTAGAGGTTATAGGTAAATCAGAATTCTTTGGTTATGTGACAGAAGCATTTGCTGCTTGATGGGGAGAATCAATTCTTAGATATTTTCATTATTATTGTTATGCTTACTTTTTTTTGTGTGTGTGTCATTTATGTATGGCATAAAATCAGACTACTTTTGAAAATGTATAAGTCTTGTTTAAGGTTGTAATAAATGAAAATGATGTCTATTGACAGCACTGCAACTGAGAATGTAATTGTTTAAAGTCAAGATAGAGAGACCATCTCAAATATTTGTTGTAAACATAATTCTGGAAAATTTTATACAGAAGATAATTTTAGTTCATATTTAAGAGGCTTGAAATGAATGTCTCTGAAGGAAGTTCATTTTCTTTTTTTTTTCAGAGGAGTTAAGTGAGCCAGAGGCCAACACAACAATGGAATCTGGGACAGAAATGTCACATTCAGACAGTGATACTTCTTCAATGTCCTCCTTTGGGGAAGAGTTTTATGACCAGTTGGCTGTCCTTAAAGGACGGTTTCGCTCCGTCACAGATGATGTAGTGAATAAAGTGCAGGAAAGGTGAGAACTATGTGTTGTTAACTCCATCATATACTGTATAGAGCAGTCAGAACAAATACTGTAACTTAAATTACTTTATGATAACAGCAGAGTGAATTATCTGTAAGCAAATATGATGTATATGCAGCACTGGTGAGTTGTTGAGGTCTGAAAGGGTTAATATTTTGAGAAAATCAACTGATATTTTAGTCTAATATGCTTCTTTATTACTGAGATTTGCCAGTCAACAGCTGTGATACTAATCCTAATATCTCATTCAACTTTTGTTGTCCTATAGTGTTTGAATATGAAATAATTTTTTTTAGTGCCTCTCTTGCTGACTGTAAGTTACCATGTTCTTTCAGCCATGACACCCTTGCCAAAGTTAGGCAAAGTGCAGAGAGAAGAAAATCTGAGTTGGCCAAGAAGCAAGAGGACAAGGCTCAGTCCAAGAACACATCCTCCAGAAAGTCCTCGAGACATTCTCACAAAACAGCAGAGTCTATTCTCTTGACAAAGGGGCTTCAGATGGCTCCTCGGAAAACAAGGGAGAATGTCAGTTCCTCGGTAGAAAGAAGCTCCTCAGTCTCCTCATCTCTAACCTCAGCATTGGTACCTGAGGGTCGTTTGTCTGTGATGTCTCAGGTTAATTCATCAATGAAATCGGAAGGTGTTGATGTCAAGTCTTCTGTTCATTCTGATATTGTTTCAGATGAAGGTATGGGACTGATTTATTGGTTCTGAATGATTATATTGTTCAGGTGCACGGTCTCAGTTTACATACAGCATGTTGTTTATATTTGTTTTCCATGTGTAATTATAATGTAAATGTTACATACCTATATTTAAACACTTTGAACCCAAATTCAGAGCATGAAGTGCCAAATCCTAGAAGAAAATCTTCACTCTCCAGCGTGTCAAGGTTTTCCCAGATTTCAAAGTCATCAAGAAGAAAATCAAAATCCGAAAAGGTAAATATTTGCCGAGTTATTTTCTTTTATATCTTAATAAGTGAGATGTATTGTCTTTTCTGCTTGTTTACCTTTCTCTCCCTTTTCTGTATAATAATACATCACAATTGAATCCGGCCCTGTCATCATAGGGTAAAAAAAGAAGAGAAAACGGTAAATCATATAAAAAAAAGTTGAATGGAATTTTTTTCATTGTCATAATTTATTCAGTTCCCTGGTACTTTTTTTTCTCAGATAGGAGATGATGAGGAAAGCAGTACGTCACTAGTGGAAGAAGTCAAGCGTTTGTCTGCATCTCAAGACCTCCGCAGAGGCCAAATCCGCCGGGTTAGTGTAGAGTTGCGAGCAGCGCAGCAACGGCTCAAGCAACTGAATGCAACGATTAGGTTGAAGGTAAGAGAACAATTTTTTTTTTTTTTTTTCTTTTTTTTTTCCTTCTTTCTTTATTTGTGTATTTATTTATTCTTTGATTGTCATTATTATTATTGTTGTTGTCGTTGTTGTTCTTATTATATATAATTTGCTATGAAATGGTTATGGTTAACTTTTTTTTCTAATGTGCTTGCATTTACCTTGTATTTTTTTCTCTTTGGGCTTAATAGAGGTGTTCTTGCTGGTTCTGTTTGTTTGCATTGTTTTAGAAATCTCCCTAATTATGGGTCCCTTTTCCCTTTCAACAGGAAGCTTTTATCCGAGAGTTGGTGCGCTGTGGGGGGGAAGCCGAGGTGACGAAACGGAAGTGTGAGGCTAAGATGGAGCGACTGGAAAAGGAGATTCACAGGGCTCGGCAGCTCTATGAGGAAGCCCAGAATCAGTTAAAGGTAATTAAATATCGGGCAGATTTAGATTTTAGATTTTAGATTTAGATTTTTTTTTTCTTTTTAGGGATTAAGGTACTTTTTTGTCAATTGATTGATTGGAATATTGGAAAATGTATTATTCTTGATGGTCTTGTTATGTAATTAGATTGTTATATGATGATTTGATTTGTAAAAAGAGTACTGCTTTATGCTTAAAATTAGGCTTTTAGGTGTAATTCATATTCAAATTTGATGCTCTATTTATTTCCTATGCTTTCAACTTTATGAAGACTGAATTCCTAAAAAGGTACTTCTAAAAAGAGTACTGCTTTATGCTTAAAATTAGGCTTTTAGGTGTAATTCATATTCAAATTTGATGCTCTATTTATTTCCTATGCTTTCATTAATTTTCCTTGTCATATAATTTCCTTGTCCTTCTCATTACGTTGTACACCAATAAGTCCTCTCATAGAAAGATAAAGAAAATCCATATGATTCACCTAATGTTTTCAACCTTATAGACTAACCTAACCTAACCTCATTAAACACATATATCAGTATTGTATTGTATATTCTTAACCTGAGAAAAGGTTATGAACTGTGATACAAATTAGCTACTGTTGCATATTACTTTCACACCATGTTACGGTTTAAAAATATCATAAGTTGAAGAGCCAGGCATTCACAGACTTTTTTTTTTCATTTCTTCAGGAATTGCGGGAAGGGGAATCCGAAGATGTTGGCCAATATCGCAGTCGTGTCGATTCCCTGAAAAAGCAAATTTCACATTACCAGAAGAAACTCTTAACCCTAGAGAAAGTTTCGGCCATCTCACAACAGGCGGACACCAAGTAAGGGATATTTTGATATATTGTTACTGTGCCTGGGTTATTTACTCTGCAAACTTGCTTTATTATTTTTACATATGTTTTTTCTCTCTTGAGATGAAAAATGTCAACACTTATTATTGTTTTGTTTTGTTTTCAGCACTAATATATTGCAAAAAGAGTTCTGCTTAAATATATAGTTAAGAGTGCACACAGAATTTACCATGTGCACCATAGCAGAAGTGAATTAACAGCTAGAAAATTTTTCACAAAGTTTATTGAACTTCAGAAAAAGAAAGGGGTATTTAAACTATCCTAAGAATATTAATGCTCTCCTATCAGTATATCTTTCTGTACTGCTTTCAGAGTAGAGGAGTTGGAGGGCAGTGTGAGGGAAATGAGACGGCAGCAAGAGGAACTCCAAACACGTCTTCGTGAGGAATTGCAGCGCAAAGAAGAACTTGAACAACAGATCATTGTTGACCAGCGGAGGATTCGGGCCCTGGAAATAAGGCTCAAGGTACTTGAGAAAAAGGATGAAAGGATGAATGGAAAGAAAGAAAGATGGAATGGAGGAAGGGGTGTAGAAGGAAGATTTATTTATCTGATCTCATCCAATATGAACTACACTAAAGTCACCATTTATATGATATATATGGTTAGTGGTAGAAAAAATGAATAACATTTTCATTTGAATGCTTACCAGCAAGATGAAGGGGAGACGGAGAGTGACCGGGGCTGGCTAGCTGAGGAGGAAGAGCGTATCCTGAAGTTGCGTGAGGCAACACAGCAACTCCAGAATGAGGTCAAGATGCGTGAGGAGGCAGTCAAGCAGAGAGAGTGGATGCACAAGGAGAAACTTCGCTTGGAGACTTCCAGACAAGACTCTGAGGTAGATTGTTATGATCATTTAAGGAATTACATTAAAGTTGGCTGTTAAGATCATTTAGAGATGTGTATAAAGAAAACTGTGCTTAATAGACCTGTTTCATTTTGTATGTAGATAACAAAGACGTTATGATTTATTGCGGAATAGTAATTGTAATTTCTTTAAAAATTTTATCACAATTTTCATATTGATTTATTTCCTACAGTAAAGCCCTTGAAATGAAATAACTTTACTATTAGCTGTTGTTTCTGATTTGAAATAATGCTATCTTAGCCATTTATTAATGTTTGTCTACTCTGTCAATAACACTTAATGCAGGAAAGAAGAAAAGGCAGTGGCAATGAAGAGGCGCTAAGGGAAAGGCGTGAGTCAGACCTAAGAGAAGAAATATCTCACCTGCGAGATGCGCGGGATTCCCTTATGGTGAGAAGACAGAAGCTGAATAGAAGAATACACAAGGTAAATGCAGATTTCAGTCTTAATTTGTTGATATTGATATTACTATGTTAATACTGATAGAAGTAATTACAATTGTTTTTGTCATTATTGTTATTTTTGCTCTGATAATTATTGCAATTTTTATTGATATTTGTAATTATTATCATTATTATTATTATTTTTATTGTCATTATGATTACTTAGTCCTTAATAGATGGTTACCATGTTTTGGCAAAAAGATACGTATATTACTGAAATAAAAAAAGCAAATAATATCAAATGCTTTGATAGAGTCACGGTCGTGGAGTGGGATCTGGTGAAGAGCGGCGTCTGCTGGAGCTGGACGAGGCCATAGAAGCAGTTGACGCAGCAATTGAGTACAAGAACGAGGTCATTTGTGGTAGGGCGAAGGAGCTCAAGTCCACTGCCAAGCTCCTTAGTCATGTGAGTGGAGAAAGCAGGTTTAGGGTTTCTTTGTCTCTTTTTCTTTCTTTCTTTATTTATTTAATTAGATTTAATTTTGTAAATGTTGTACAGTGGTCTTCCATTTTATTGTTCATCATGTTTTTTTGGGACAGATACATTTTTTAAAGAATTATTGTATTAAAGAATTAGTCATGTATTTTCATAAGCAGACAAGTAAGAAGTAGGAACAAGATACTGATGAAAATTGAATTACTATTATCTTTGCTTGATTAACATCAATCTTCATTCTACCTTTTTCCCTTTTACTTTTTCTTCCCTCTTCAAGGATAATCTAATGGAGCGCTT